ACGTAGGCGCATCGCTTGGGATTACTATAGGCCGCCGGCACCACCCATAGACGGGAAGGGTACTCTAAGGTCACGAGTCCTTTTAAAAGTCAGGGGACCTTTGCCCTATTCCCTCATCTTGGGTTCGTGCGTGTTTTGTTTGTTTTTTAGAGATTTTTATGGTTGGACGTTGTAGTCCGTGGCAGCCGTCAAAGTCAAACCCCTAGACTTTCGCCCAGACCCTGGGGAGGACTTACCCCTAGGGCCGCGAGAGACGATTACCACCACAGGCATGGGCCTGTGTACCACCCACTCTGCATAAGGGTGCAGAAGAGGGTGTGTGGTCGTCAACCATGCATGGTGGTTGTCTAGCGCTGAGAGATTAACCCTCAAGGCGCGTGTCAGCCGACACTTGAGTGTCGAATACGGCCCTCGAGATTAACGAGGACCGCGTGAGTATGGATACTACGTAGTACACCATCATCGCGACTGCTTGCGCACATTTGCATTGCAAGTCGATATGAGATAGCCCCGCATCCGCGCAATTTTATATCGGGTCTCGNACGTAGTACACCATCATCGCGACTGCTTGCGCACATTTGCATTGCAAGTCGATATGAGATAGCCCCGCATCCGCGCAATTTTATATCGGGTCTCGCGCGCGACGCCTATCCGATTTCTGTGTCGGAAAAGTTATGGGTTGGCTACGGAGGGGCTAGGAGCGTTATCGCGTTGTTCGTGTTGTGTTGTCTTGCGTGTGTGCGTGGGCGTGTGTTTTTATTATATATTTTTTAAGAGTGATGTGCGTTATCGTGTCGTTTCGTATGTGCGCGTGGTGTGTGAGATGGGTCCTAGTTGACTGACGACGAGTCGCGCTTGGGACCTCAGCCCCCCAAGATGTCGGTTCGCGTGCGGGTCCGATAGGCGTATTACTGCGCGTACCCCCTATGTTACAGCGAACGAGAAACGCCCTCGGCTGGTCCACCTCTGCGATTGCAGTCGATCAACTTTCGTATTGTGGACTGGTAGCTCGGCGGGGATACGCCCACCGATGGGAGGTGACAACTCCTGTAAGGTGGAGGTAAGTTGTGCCTCCCGTAGGCCCTATCCTGCCGTAGGGGCTCGCGAGAGGTATGGTTGGCGCACTCGGCCCGAGCGGACTAAGGAAACTCCATTTGCGTGTTCGTGTCGAGGTTGGTCCAACTCCTACGTGACGAGGCCGAGAGGGTTCCGCACTGCCGCGCGCGGTGCCGGACCGATGCGCTCGACAGGTGGCGCAGTTGCCGGGGATAACGGAAGCCTACCGTTGTCCCTGGTGGAACGACATCCGGGTATGGGAATGAGGGAGAACAAGACATATGAGTGGATAAGGGGAAGATTATACGATGAATTGTATGGTGGTCTATATGACTGTGGGTGTGAATATTTGATTGACTGGCGGCTTGGCTGATGGCGTGGATAAGGCGAGTGTGTGAGGAGACTTTATGGTAAGGGTAGGCCTTATCTAAGTAAGCCTAAGGGAAACAAGAAGAGAAATGTCTGCCAGGTCTAGAGCGTCGGATATTTGAGGGGTCAACCCGGTAGGGTCGTGAGGGAATGAACTGCTGAGTGGGGCCTTTCGTCCTATCGTTTCTTATAACAGGAGGTTTGAAGCCGGAGGTGGCTGATCAAAATGTCAGAGATGATGGCGGACGGTGGGAGGAGGCTCGTGACACTTGACGACCTCATCGATGCTTTGGACAAGCGTGAGAGGGCGCCAAGCAATGTCCCAAAGGTTGAGACACTCCACTTCAAGGGGGATCGAGTATCTGACTGGTTGGACCTGACAGAACAGGCGCTGGTAGGACTGTCAGATGAAGTCAAGCTCCAGCGGGTCCTAAGGTATGTCTTGCATAGTCACCATCGGGAAGTAAGTAAGGTCGTGGACGCCGCCAATGGTAGTTGGACAAAGTTTGGGGACCTGATGCGGAGGAAGTACAGACTGGGGGATGGCCTGTTGACTATGGCCGACTTGGAGGCCATGAATAAGGAAGACTTCTCTACCATCGGGGCGTTTGTGCACGAATTCAAGAAAAAGGCGAAGAAAGTGCACGAGATTTCGGAGGAGGCGCAGTGCGCCACATTCCTGGGATTGCTTACGGGCTCGGAGGCCGCAAATTTGACAAAGCACGGAGAAGGGAGTGAGAAGCTCACCTGGGCAACTATAGACAAAGGGGTGGAAGAAGGGAGCCTGGACCAGGTGGAGCAGCACCAGATGCGGCTGCAAAGGCGTAAGAGGAAGGAAAGGGATGCTACCGCATCCGGGACCCCAGGGGTAAAAAGAATCGTCACGGATGTGTTGGCGGCACTGGGGTATGACAGCGAGCGGAAATACAGAAAAGGGGGGTGGCGGTGGCCCAAGGCAGGGCGTCTGGAGCAGTGGATGAGGAGGCTGGGCGCGAGGACTACGGCGGAGGGGAGACGGGCTCCCAAGCCCTGACTAAGGCCCAGAGGAAGCAGCGTAACCTGCTACTGGGAGGGCAGGGATCAGGGAAGGGGCAGGCTCCCCAAGCCATTGCCGCACCGCCGCCTGTCACCGCGGCCACACCAGCGCCACCGCCAGCAGGGCCATCGCATATGGGGCCGCCACCAGCCTGCGGGCACTGGGTGCCGCATTGTCAGTCTGCGCCCTGGCCCAGCTGCAACCACTGTGTCTCGTGTGGAGGGGGTCAAGCCCACACGGGGCACATGGTCCCCTATTCGGGCCCATCGGCAAGTATGGGCCCCCCGAGCTACCCGGCGACCCAAGGCCAGCCTGTGGCCCAACCGCCGCCCTCCCAGCAGGCCTCGCAAGCTAGTGTGGCCGGGGGAGGGAGTCAAGGACAAGGCGGGCAAGGCAATGGGGGTCGGGGCGAAGGAGGCCGAGGAGGGGGTGGCCGGGGGCGAGGAGGAAATGGTGGGGGCCGTGGGGGTGGTTGGAATAATCAGGGAGGCCAAAGCCAGGGTGGCCAGGGCAGCCAGGAGGGGGGCCAAGGGTATGGGAGGCCCCGCTTCGATTGGCGGAACGCAACTTGTTCGCATTGTGGCGAGGTGGGCCACACCATACGGTTCTGCCAACAGCGGCGGGGCGATGAGCTGGCAGGACTGATCTCCACCTGTATGGACGGGGACATATACGATAGGTGGGGAAAGCACATCGATCCCAAGACCCCGGGAGGAATCAGGCAGGAAGCCCTTAGGCGAGCGGCGGCAGGGCCTCCAGCAGCCCCAACAATGTTCAGGATATGGCAGGAAAGGCAGGACCCGGGTGTGAGAGTCGAGGAGATTGTGGATGAAAATGAGGAAGTGACTCAACGGCTGAAGGCGGGGACTATAAAGGAGGAACCGATAGTCATTGAGTCGGACGACGAGGAGTTGGAAGTGGTGGGAGAGTCTGCCTCGACCATCCTGGAAAGGATGGAGGACCTGCTTGCAAAGGTCGGCAGGTACCAGGAACGACTGAGAGTGATGTGCGAAGAGGCCCGGAAATGGGAAATGAACCTCCCTCAAGTGATGCTCTATGGATCCGGCCCGGTGTCGTCATGAGAACCGCAAGGGTGTCCCAGCGTGGCGACAGCCGCGGTAGGTCCTAGGTCAGGGATGACCTTCAGGCCCCCTACATCGCATGGAAGGGTACCACAGGCCGCACAGACTAGGGGCCAACGTAAGGCTACCATTAGTCAAGGGCCAAACCAGGCACCTGGCCGGGCGCCCCCTCGAAGGGAACCTGAGCCTGAACGAAGGAAAGAAGTGGTGGAGGTTCAGGAGGAAGAAGAGGAGGGTGATGACAAAGAGGATGAGAGGCTCCGCCAGGAGGAGGACCGGTGAGCTGAGCAGAGGACCAAGAAGAGAGGAGTTCAGGGAGAGGCGGAACCGAGCCTGCGCGACGGCACGCCAAAAAGGACGAAGTACGCGGTCCGGCTAGAGGAGGGCTTTGACGTGGAGCGAATGGTGGACAAGCTCCTGGAAGGTCATAACGATCTGATGAATTTGAAAGATATCTTGGCGTCAGCACCAAGGCTCCGTGGTGAGCTGAAAGGGCGGCTCTCACGAAGGTTAGTGCCCAACGTCCACATAAGCTCGATTTTGCCCAGGGAGATAAAGTGGACAGAAGCGGGTACCAGGATGGATTGGAAATGTGTGGCATGTGGGTTAGTGGATTTGAAGGTGAGGGACCAGCCGAGCATTGCAATGGTGGACACGGGCGCTGAGATGAATATTATCCGGGAGCGAGATGCGACCATGCTAGGGCTGGAGGTCGACCATTCGGACCATGGTGTGCTGCATGGCGCCAATTGTAAAACAATTTTCTGTGGCACCGCATCTAACGTGATGGTGGAAATTGGAAGGGTAAGGGCACGAACGTGCTTCTTTGTCAAGCCCGATGTCGACCACCCTATCCTTTTGGGGAGGTCGTTCCTCTGCCGAACGGAGACCTTGGTCTTCAATTGGCACTAGGGGACGATGATCCTGACCCTATCTGATCCTGCCTGCTGGAACTATGAGATCATCAAGTGCCGGAACACAGGACCTGGAAGTGTGAGAAACAGGCTCAACCTTGACTCCATTACCTTCGAGGAGTCTGAGTATGTGCGATGAAGACTCCGGGAGGAACAGGAGGAGGGAGGAGCGGGCGAGGTATTGTCCCTGAGCCTTAACGATGTGAATAAGGCAATGGAGGTGGTGGCAGCGCATGATATGGCGGACCCTGAAGCCATAAAGGCATTAAGAGAACAGGTCCTGGAGAGCACTCAGGTAGGAGAAGTGGAACTGATCTATCGGCTTCCAGGAAGGAAGGGGGACCTTGCGATGGCCCAGGCCCGAATGACAAGTCGGCCTTTTTTAGGGAAGGGCTTAAGCAGGGTTCCCAAATGCGGTACAAGACCATAGACAAGAAGTGTCACCCAGTCCCTGTGCTTGTTACAGAGGATGAAGAGGCCTATTATGAGCGGGAGCGGGGACTAATCAGACGAATGCGGGAGCATGCGCAGGCAGGACCGTGTCGAATAAATGATGGGAATGAAGAGGGGTTGATAATTGGCGAGCCTGGCTTCCTTTCGCCCCAGGAGAGGACCTTGAGGTGGAGACCATGAAGAGGAGGCATTGCGCATATGCGTTTAACGATGACGAGCGTGGGAGTTTGAACGTGGATAAGATTCCAATGATACGGATCCGTACCGTCTTACACGAGCCGTGGAATCTGAGGGGCGTGCGATATCCGAATCCGGATGAGGAGAAGAAGGTGGTGGACTATCTGGAAGGGAAAATGCGGACGTACGTGGCAGACTACTCCAGTGGACCGTATGCCTCCCCTTGGTTTCGCTTCATCAAGCCGAACGGGACGCTACGGTGGGTGCAGAACCTGCAACGTTTGAATGCGGTGACGGTGCGGGACGCGGGAGGATTGCCGAACGCGGACGCCCTGTCAGAGTCATGCGCAGGAAGGCCTATAATTTCACTTATAGACCTTTATTTAGGGTATGACCAATTTTTTGTATACCCGCCGGACAGACCGGTGACGACTATGCATATGCCGAGGGGGCTGATCCACATGAATGTGGCCCCTGAGGGGTGGACTAATGCGGTGGTGATGGTGCAAAGGCACATGATTAGGGCCATGCAGACAGTTAGTCCACATATTACCCAGCCCTATATTGACGATCTGGCGGTCAAGGGTCCAAAGGAGAGGGAGGAAAACGAGGTGCTTCCTAGAGTAAGACGGTTCGTCTGGAAGCACATCCAGGATATCGATAAGGTTCTGGGTCTGCTGGAAGAGCACAACCTGACGGCGAGCGGCCCCAAGTCGAAGCATTATATGAGGGAGACCATGATTCTGGGCTTCGTTTGTAACGAGAAGGGGCGGAGGCCAAATGTGAAGAAGACGAACAAGATCCTAGAGTGGCCAGTGCCCTTTAAGTCGATAATGGACGTGAGGAGCTTCCTTGGGACCTGTGGTTTTTGGAGGAGTTTCGTGAAGGACTTCGCCACCAAGACAAAGCATTTGAGGAAGCTGGTGCGTTAGGATCAGGAGTGGGTCTGGGGCGAAGACCAGAAGAAGGCTGTGGAAAGGATGAAGGGAGAGTTCAAGGAAGGAGGCTTGGTGCTAGGAGCGCCAAATTATGAGGCCACGGAGGAAAGGCCATTCGTTGTTGAGACGAACGCTGGGCCAACTGCCTTAGGAGGGGTCCTGATTCAGGCAGATGCGGATGGGAAGGAGAGGCCGCTAAGGTTTGAAAGTCGTACCCTCAATACGACTGAGAGGAACTACTCTCAGTTTAAAAAGGAGACGCTGGCGGTACTCCATTGCCTGAGGACCTTCCGGAATTATATCTTTGGCAGGAGACTCATTTTGAGGGTGGACCCTACTGTGCTTGCGTGTTCCCTGAAAAGTTATACTCCATCTGACCCAACCATCGCGAGGTGGTTGACCTAAATTTGGATGTTTAACTTTGAGCTGGAGAGGATTCCAGGGGACAAGAACAGGGCAGATGGGCTGAGCCGTATCAACTGGAACGGGGCGAATCAGGAGTCAATCGAGGATACCCCACCAGTCGACGGGTTCTTGGACCAGGAGGAGGATGTCCGCCTCCACATAAATGAATGGTCGTTGAGGGTGCCTAGCTGTATTACGCATCCCATATGGCTAGCACCAAGAGGGTACGAGCGAAAGGAGGAGTTGGTCCTCAAGCCCTTCCAGGAAGAAGATCCGTGGGGAAGTAGGGATGTTGGTTGGATGATGAAGTTGGCATTGGCGGGTACACACAGTCTGGCAGAAGAAGTGAGGACAATAGAGGAGGGCCCAACCCAGGTAGAGGAGCATGAGCAATTAATGGGGGGGGTGTATTTGCTCACCCACACGCTCCTACAGGGGAACTTTAACCAGAGGGACTCATTTGGTCATGAGGAGAGTGAACTTCTTGTTCTTGAAAGCCAGGACGATGAGTTCGAAGAGGGAGAGATCAGGGAGGCCTTCCGCGCAGAGGAGTATGACAGGATCTATCGGGAGTTGGGGTTACTCCTGTCGTGCGAGATAAGGGATAGAGACGCAAGTGCCAAAGCCCAAAAGATGAGGCATCTCTACGTAGTAAGAGATGATCATCTATTTATAAAGCGGCAGGTCGGAAACCCCAAGAGGATCGTATGTGGGAGGAACCGGCAGATCGATGTCATAGCAGCCCTACACGATGGTATAGCAGGGGGGCACAAAGGGGTTAGTGCCACGTGCACAAAGATAAGCGAGTTATACCATTGGGATGGAATGCTAGCTTTGGTCATCAAGTACTGCCAGTCCTGTGTACCTTGCCAACAGAGGTCAGCGCAAAGGCCTGGGGAGCCTCTGCACCCCAGGTTGGAAAGGGAAGTGGGTGTGGTCGTGCACCTGGACCTGTTGTTTATGCCACTCGGGGAGGATGAAAATAACTATATCTTCGACGCACGGGACAACCTTACTGGGTTTGTGGACGGTCGGGCTATTCGTACAAAAACTGGCTCAGTTTTAGCAAGGTGCATCGAAGAATACTACCTACGCTATCCGTTTGTCAGAGAGTTTGTGATGGACTGGGGGTCGGAGTTCACCTGTAACGAGGTGCGGACCTTACTTGCGGGGTATGACGTGGTGGCAAATTATACTACTGCCGCGCACCCCCAGGCGAACGCACCTGTGGAAAGAGGGCATAGTACCATCATGAATCTTCTAGCCAAATGGACTGAGGGGAGGCCTAACCAGTGGCCGAAGTTCCTGAGAGCAGCTTTCTTCGTGGAAAATATTACAGTGAAAAGGACTGCCAAGTATGCGCCAGCCACGCTATGGTACGGAAGGCATGCCACCTTTCCCATAGAAAGTTTCATGAAGACGTGGAGACGCCAGGACCTGGAAGTGAACCTGTCTTTTGAAGAACTGCTCGATATACGGGCGCGTCAGGTGGGAGCTGCTGAGGAAACGTTGCGAGAGGTCGCTGGTCAGGTAGAGAGAAGCCGCATGGAAGACAAGATGAGATGGGACCAGATGGCCCGGGTAAGAAAGGATCCGCTGAAGGTTGGAGATGTTGTACTGCTGCATGACTCCTCGCTGGAAAAACAATGGTCTAGGAAGCTCGACAAACGATGGCTGAGACCGTATAGGATCGTGCGGTGTAGCGAGTTTGGGGCCTACCAGATTGAAGAGCTGGATGGGGCAGGGTGGCAAGACTGGGTATCAGGGACAAGGCTGAAGAAGTTCGTGGCCAGGGAATAGGTAAGGGACCATGAGACCTCGTTAGAAATAGAGTCTTGCCCAGGCATTACCCATGTCAGGTGATTAGATAGATGGGTGATTGGGGTGGATGGGTGTGGAGTGTATGTGGGATTTCCCTAAGCCAATGGGCTCAGTTGCTGACCCTGCTGTGTGCCTGTTTACTATCTCTCGCCTGTTGTGCAGGTCTGACTTTTCGAAGGCAGTCATGCAGAGGGGCGGGAGGGACACACGACCACGGCAGGGGCCCCAGAGGGCAGCAGGAAGGGGCTAGCAGCATGAGCCGCCTAGGAGGGAGCCTATGCCAGAGTTCGACGACGATAACATTGAGCTTTTCCTGGACGTGTATCGGGATCATGCGGCACAGAGAGGGTGGTCAGTGGCGGAGAGGATTCACCACTTGAGGGGTATAGAGAGGTTTGAGGAGCCTGTTGCTCAGATATGTGAGGAGGCCCTGAGTTGGCCAGATGTGGAGACCGGGATGCAGAGGTTGAGAGCTTCCCCTAGAGGACGTAATGGCATGCCCATTCGATTGGAGGAGGGGAGCGCGGAGGAGTTTATTCCCGCATACGAGCATTATATGCTGAGCCAGGGGATTGCGAGGGAGGAGTGGGCACAGACCCTACTTATCTGGACAAGGGAGGCAGAGAGGCCAGTGGCCAGACAGATCCGGGAGAGAGCTCGAGATTGGGAGGACTGCCAGGCCCAACTCAGGAAAGCGTTCGGACGGTCAGAGCGTGAGAGGCCCGCGCCCAGGATTGAGAGGCGGAGGCAAAGCAAGAGGCCAAAGGAACCAGCGCCGAGGGAGGTGGGGCCGACTAGAGAGAGGAGGAGGGCCCCAGCATAGCGGGAGCATGAGCCCGCGGGATCCGCACCGGAAGAGGAGTTGTTCCCTGCTTGTGGTCTCCGGGCAGTTGAGTTTCGATGGATCACGAGCGAGGAGCTGAGGCCATCTTCACCGTCGCCATCAGGGCTGGAGTTGGACATACCAGGGGAGACGCTATTTCGGAGCTTAGCGACTCACCTTGATGTATCTCGATTGGAGGCCTCACGGTTGGGGGAGGGCTCAACTGAGCCGGTGCGCTATGTATCGTTAGAGGAGCCTCTGGACCTCGAGACGAAGACGGACACGTGAGACCAAGAGGGGTCGCAAGGCCCTGGGATGGCAGTCAAGCAGCCAGGTCGGGTATGGCCTCAGGATGAGGAGGTGATCACGGTCGGAGACGATACCCCTCCATGCTCCCCAGCTCCAGAGCCATCACAACATTCATGGCCAAAGGGGATTCCTGAGCCAGGCAGTGAGGAAATTCCTGAGTTTCCCCCAGAGACCATTGCGGTGCCTGAGCAGGAGGCAGAGATGGAGAAGCAGGGGGCTGGTGAGGGAGCGAGGATGGAGGCGATTCACGATTCACCTTCAGTCATGCCCGCGACCGAGCGCCCAGCTATCGAGGAGCCGGTACTGGAGGGGCTACCGCCGGCATTGTCGAGTACGAGCGAGAGGATGGGTGCCGAGGCGGCGACTCCGGAAGGCCAGGGGCCGCAAGGGAGGGGAACCTCAAGAGAAACCCGCGAGGAGAAGTCCGCCAGAGTGCGAGTCCGTCTGGATGAGATACACGCGAGGCAGGCTGAGATGGAGTCGGCACGGATAGAGCCGACGCCGCCGGTCGATCCCAAAACGAGCGAGCAACAAATCGACGAGTTGTGGGCAAGGTACGAGAGCAAGAGGGACGCGGCCCGCCAGAGATCAGGGGCAGGCGGACATGGAGACGGGTGAGCTGAGGGAGATGGGGGACTTGGGGTTCTCTGCGACTAGGATGGCGATTGAGCGTGTGGACAAGAAGATATGCGAAACGACAATTACATCCTTTCAGTGGTATAGTTTACTCAGCGATGAACTCAGGGTCAGAGAGTTGGAGGTGGAGCACCTGACTACTCAGCTTGCCGAGGAGAGGGCGAGGAACCAGGCCAGAGAGATTGAGTGGGAGAGGAGATTTAGGGAAATGGCAGCCATTGTGGACAGGCTCTCGGCAGCCTGGGAGGCTAGCCGAACGGGACGAGTCGGTGTCGATGGCCAGGACCGAGGGATGCGGGCTTCGCCAAGCCAGGGAGCAGCAGTGGGGGCCCCTCGGCAGGCTGGGCCAATGGGGGAGGTACCTTTGGATACGGCCGAAGAAGAGGGTGGCGCCCAGGAGTCACTTATGGCAATGCCTACGGAGAGAAGAGGCTCACGTTTGCATGAGCTGGCAGCAGCCTTGGGGATAGGTACACCGCAGGAGAGGCCTCAGAGGCTTGATACCCCAGGCTACACCCTAGGGCTGGGAGAGTTGAGGGCGGAGTTGGGCTCGTGGGACACAGAGACGGACTCAGGAGGACCTGACTCAGGGCGGCAGCAGCAACAGGACGTCGTGAGTGAGCCGGCCGCCGTAGCGGGCTCTCAGCCGTTAGGATCATGTGGGGATGTGGAGGCGACGGAGAGGCCTCACGAGGAGAGACCCCGAGAGTTGGGCACGCCAGGCCACGAGTCAGTGCCGTGCGAGAACGTGAGGACGCTGAGGCTATGGAGTCCGAACCTCGAGGCCATATGGGGGTACCATTATGCCACGAGGTGACCACCGAGACCATGGGGACGCCGTCAGCATCGAGCTCCCGGGGGAGAAAGAAGAAGACTGCCAGGTGGCACCATACCTCCTGCTTTTGGTGCAAGAAGGAAGGGCATAGAGTCGTGGACTGCCCAGAGATCCTCGAGGATAAGGCCGAGGGGCGGGTTGCAGAGGTCGACGGCAAGTGCTATGACAGACAGGATAGGATAGTGGAGCGAGCTCCAGATGGGGGCAAGGCTCAATTATACAAGCAGAACCAAGAGGAGTTGGGTGAGTAGGGACTGGTCTATCTATGTGTCAGTAGGGTCAGGGTATTTGGCACACAGAGGGCGGGTTGGAGGTGTATATGTTTAGTTGGCTGAGGGGGTTCTAAATGTGTGCATACTTTAGAGATGGTAGGATGAGTCCCTGCCTGCTTATATATACATAGTTGATTGTGTTTTCCTTGAGCTTTCTTTCACGGGCTACGGCTTAGGGCGCGAGGGTCGGTCGTAGGATACATGGGACTATTCAGTCCATTCTTGGTTTCACGATGCAAAGACTATTTAAGTTTTGAGAGAGACGTGGGTATGAGTTTTCCCTAGTTGGGTGAGACAGGCGGGTTAGGCGCCCTTCAGATTTTAGGGAGATGTTGTGTCCTGAGCGTGTTCCGCGAGTGTACAGTGGGGTTGGGATCCATGCTCAGATGGACAGAGTTTGAGTTGAGTGTTTGTGTTTGAGTCTTGAGGGAGGCGTTCTACTCCCTGAGTGTATCATGAGTTGAGATTCTATGAGACTTGTCTTGTGACGACCACTATCAATCTCACATGTGTGGCTTTATCATGATGTATAATTGGCTATGCGTGAGAGGTGTACAGGATGCATCTCATGGACGTGATTGTGTAAACTGTAAAGCTGTCTACCCTCCGGTATACTCGTGCGGTCTGATCGCAAGCGGACGAGAGGTCAGAGTATAAGAAGGGGGAGTGCAGCCTGTTTGTGAAAACTTGTGAGAATCCTACGGGATTGATGAATTCAGAAATTTGCATGCTTGGTTATACTAAACACCGTTGCCTAAGTTGTACAAGGACCCAAAAGATGGTCCCTCGGGTTGAGTTGTTTGGTGATTAAGACCCCCTCCATGGTTCTGGAAGGTGGGAGTTGTGTTATTGTTGGGGCCTCTTGATGGTTTTGGAAGAGGCCGCGCGAAAATTCATCCCGAACAAAGAGGGGGAGGGGTGAATACGGGAACTTTTGTGAGGGGCACCCTTTACTAAGTAAGGGTGGGTAAAAATTGACTGGTATGAAAAGCATTGTTTGTGTTGATAAAGCCTGACGAAAGGGAACCATATCTGCTTGAAATGTTTGAAGAGGGCGAAAAATGCCTCAGGATGGGCGACTGCTGGCTCTGATAAAGTCAGGAGCCGCGGCCTTGTGGATCCGGCAGGGAGACTGTTTATGATTGAGCGAAGGATGTCGTGCCTATTATAGGAGGGCCGGTAAATGCCTTCAGACCCCCTGTGTAGTCCCGCACCGGCCTGTGAGTTGTTTGTGATGCCCCGCCTGGCCACCTGTGCTAATTTTGAGACATATTTAAAGGAATACCAAGCTAACGGTAAAGCTTAGTACCACCTGGGCGCAACCCCTAGTGGATGGCTGCTAGCCGGCACAACCTGGCTACGGGTCCGCAAGGTAAGAGTTTAAGGGGAGTCGCCCGCCCCAGGGAAATTACTTCGCGGGATAAGAGTCGAGTCCTTTGGAGACCCCGATTGATTGATTATCAGGGACAAACCTGTCGTTGTATAACCAACGGGAGGATACCGCCGCTAAGGTAACAACGCGGTGCGCCATAGACCTGGCCCGATCAGCCAGGCTACGGCGGGCCCAGATGGGGACCTGGCATTTCTGTACTAGACTGCAGAAAAGGACGAGAGAGGCTACAAGCTTATACGTGTGTATTTTGTTTGATTGTGAGGAATTTGCTGGAAGAAGGCAAAGAATGTCTTCATAGGTCCCATTCGAAGCCCGCGTCCCTAGTCATGGCTGTGCTTACGAGAAAGAGACTAACTGGGACACCCAACGAGAGGCCGACGGTTGTCTAGGACGAAAGGGGAAGAGGATGGTTTGAGGGCCTTTGAAACTTATGCTGTAGTATTGATGCGTAATACACCGGCGTCCGAGTCCTGATGTCAGGACAATAGGGACCCAGGTTGAAACCCTGGCAGCATATAGTTGTGTAGGCACGGTTTGATGGAGGCCTCAACCCTTAGTCTGTCGGCTAATCGGATTGGTTCTAATCTCGTCAGCATTTGGAATGTAAAGAAACCTATAGCTTTTGATTTGGCGACGCGACGGGGACGTCGCTTAATATGGTCCGGTAAGCTGTCGGCGCGAATACCCTTACAAGGGTATCCGCCCTAGGTTTGCAATTGACAAAAAGGCTCGGTCAACCTGGATTTTTAGTGCCCGTGCGGGAAAGTGCGAGGGTCGTCCGCACGCGGGCAAACGTCTGTCTTGTCCCGGTAGGGGGTATGTGGGCGCGCAATTTTAAGGCGCGTGTGTGATTTTTCTGATTGAGTGGGCGGTCGGGGTAGCCGACCGACTCGGACCGGGTGACGGGCTTGGTTAAGGGGGTGAAAGCTCGCTTTGGTCGGCACGTGCGACCGGTGGTGGCGTGCAAGCCAGCGCGCGGGATGGCCATGCTGCAGGATGGTAGGCCGGCGCGGGCACTTAGGGGCCATAGGTACAAATGTGGGTTGAAGGAGTGGCCGGGGCGGTACCCTGGCCCGAAGCGCCATGCGATGCCACTTTATGTGGGAGGCCGCGCTGGTGCATTCCAGGTTTGGGCTTAGCCCTATTGGTTACGGTGTTGGACTGTTGTTACGGAGGTACGGGGATCGAGGTTGGCGGACGACGACATGGGAGTAGCGGAGCAGCGAGAAAAAGAGGGGTCGAGGGTCTCGTAGGACTATCCCCTTTTTTTTTGTTTTGTCGGAAGAAACCGCTTGCGGGCCCGCGCCGCGGGGCTAAGGGAACTTTGGCAGAGGCCGCGGCCGGCCCTTCCTTTTCGTCACTGTGGGGCCATTTTYGCTCTTATGGTCATTTCGGCGCCAAGACTTAAAATCGACCGTAAGCCTGAGGGCCTGCCACGGCCGGTATATTCGTGAACTGTTGGAGCAAAGGTCGTGATGATGGCGCTCGAAGGGCAAAACCGAATACCTTTCTTGAGGCCTGCCTTGGGGTTGGTCAGTCTGGTAGAGGCGCTCCAAGGCTGGTGTGTGGTTTTGCCCCAGGATAATTATCGCGGCTAGGGTAATGCGGAAAAGCCCGGGGCCGTCTGTACCCTGTGGCTGACTGGAGGAAATGACGAAAGAGGGGGGGCTTGCGTAGGCCATTGTGTGAGTGCGAGTTCCGGGAGTGAACCCGGACGGGGGTCGTGACGTGGGCCACGCCCGACAGATACGGAGCAGAGGAATCCCTTTGGAGGGGAAGGAGATTTGAGGCACGAGGAAGATTCGCACAGCCCCACAGGGAGGTGGTATCCCGGAGTGAACCCAGACGGGGACCGGGCTAAGGGCGTGCAAAAAGAAAACGAGAGGGGGATCGYTGTACTAGAACTAAATCTTTGTGGCTTCCTCCCTCTTGCTTYCGAGGTCGGCGAACTTGCTGACGCGGCCGTTGGGTGRRGGGTTTGGCTGRCCRCTGTATAAGTCTGGAGTGGACCCGGAYGYGAATCGCACCGGGTACARACGAAAAGGGGGGATTCGRGCCGATACARAAAAGATTAGCATGGCCCCTGCGCAAAGATGATACRCATAGATCCCGAAAAGGAGGCCGGGTTCGCGTGCCGAGGTAGGGSGAGGCTGYAGCCGCGCGGGCAGGCGTTGCCACGGTCWWAGCCCCTCGRGACATTCGTGAAAACWGGAACGATACGGAGAAGATTAGTGGGGCTCCTGCGTAAGGACGACATACGTGAACTGGGAGAGAGGGGGACGCGTCTGCCYGAATCTGGTCTCAAGAAGGAGYCAGGTCCGTSCGCCACGATGYTGAGGCAGGGTGATACCGGGAATTGCCCGAACTCGGAGAGGGCGAGTCCGTCGGGGCATCCGCGAAAGCTGGAGTGATACCGAAAGGGGGGAAGGCTTTGTGCGGCCCCTGCACTAGACCGCGGAGTATAAGTTGAAGAGGAGTCGTCGTCGTCGGGTTGTTTTGACTCCGCTACGACCGAGGGCTGTGCGCCGCTCAGCCGAAGCGCGCCGATTTTGGGGACGTCAACACGGTGGGGTGACGAACCAGGATTTGGCGAGTGAATCCGGGCGTAATTTGGGGCCAGGTGCGGGTAGGTGAAGAAGCGGGAGCTGGGGAAAGTCATACCTTGCTCAACTCCCCGTGGAATCGGGCGGGAGAGGATGGTAGGTAGGGATTTTCGGCCGAGACGGACACAACGGTGGGGTTATTTTCCGCGTTGGGGTGGTGTGTAGCAAGGTAGAGGAGGAATGGTGTGCGCCTAGACTATGGCGGAAGAAGGAGCCAGGCGCGGTTGGGGAGACGGAGTGCCCGCGAACTGGGGTGGAATCGAGCGGGATACAGTGGCAGGTAGGAACTTGGAAGAGCGAATCGAATGAGCGGTGTTAATCCCGGGGTTAGTGGCTAACTTCCGCGTTGTGTTGGTAGTAGGCAGGCGTTGATGAGGGGGGCAGGGCGGATGAAGCCGGTCACGAAGTTATGCCGGGTGAAGTCGGGGAAGGTGGGGCGAGGCAGACAGGGCGCAGCGAGGGAGAAGCGGGCGTTGCATAGGGAGTGAAAGACAGAGCAGCGGACAGCGTGGCGCAGGGCAAAAGCGGATAGCTGAGTGAGCAACGGACAGCGGGGCTGGCCGGGCGGTTTGGCGCAGTGCAGCAGTGGGGGGGGGGACGAGCTGCGGGGAAGGACATAACTGGTGAGTGAAATTAAGAAGTGAGGGGTGGAGGTGATAAGGTGAGGCATGTASCTGKTCTTGGTGTTGGCTTATAAGGTSTGYGTCTTCATGCTCCGRGGTTGTCGCTTCTGATATCTGTGGGAAGCATGAGCTACTCGTAGGCTGCTAAATGTAGGGCCTTGCTATTCGGA